GCCAAAATTGCTTCCAAAAACCTCCAAAATGGGCCAGACACCCCCCAATGTTTGTATTCTGTTTTTTTAATTTCCCTTTTTTTTTTTTTTTTTTTTTTTAATTTGTTTTAATTGTTTTAATTGTTTTATTTAATTCACCTAAAATAATTTTCATAATAATAAATCAGAAACTAAAAAATGTTTATTCTTTATTAATATTAAATTCACCATTAAAATATTTTTTGTAAATAAACTCTAACCATTAATTTAGTAAATTAGGTTTTAAACTTTAATCTTTTCTTAATAAATAAAATAAGTAGAATTAGGGTTTTTGACCTTTTCATCTTTTTTTTTAATAAATAATTTTCTCTCATTATTATTATTATTAGTTACTATTTAATTTTGTAAATAAACATGTACATTAATTAACTAGTAAATTAGGTTAAACTTTAATATTTTCTTAATAATTAAAATAATTTAGAATTAGGGTTTATCTTGATTTTTAATTTTCTTTATTTCATTAAATACCAAAAAAAAACATAAAAACAATTTCTTTCTTTAATTAAATAATTGATTAGACTTTAATTTCAATTTAATTTCAAAAGGGTCAAAACCCTCAGACGTCCTAACTTTTATTCTTTCGCACGTTATTCTTTTTTCTTTTCGAATATTATGTAACTGCTCAAGGATTGTAATAGTAATTAGGTATTTTATTTTCCGCATTTTATCAAAACGGGTCTTTGTAATTTGGCGATGTATAGACCCGCGCCTTGTAATAGCGTAGGATTTATCTTTCCGCATTTAAATTTCCGCACTCTTAACTACTAAATTGTATGAAAGAATGTATGGCTAATTAAAAACAAGCGTAGCTCACAATGCCCTGATCAAAGATAATTGTTAAACTGAAAACAACACACAAATTCACACACCACTTCTAGGGTACGCCTCACTGGTTGCCTTACCTTCGAAACATGGTCGTCGAGTATAGGACGTTTTAGTAAGTCCTTATGTCCATGATCCAGTTGCCTCGAAATGGTTGCCTCGGATTAAAAAAGGATCAAGGGCATAAGGGTAGCTTCTAAGGTGTCCTACTGTTGCTATGGTGACCACACTGTCCCTACAAACGAATTGACCCGAACACCTCCAACGGTGGTGCTACCTACCTCTCAATGGTGGGATGACACTACTTTAAGGACATTTACACAGCCTAATTCCTTAGGGTAGGTAGATGACTCATAGATACTTGCTCTATTCAAAACAAATCAAAACTCTTTTCACACTGACACTTTCAAAAAGCTTTTAAAATAATTTTTCAAACACTATTGAGGACTGATACAAGAGTTATTCCGAAATTTTTAAACAAAACTTTTTTCAAACCCGCTCACATCTTGAAAAGCAAACTCTTTCGAAAACACAATGAGCAAGTATCTAAGAGCCCATGGATAACCATGGATAGAAAGGATGCTAACACCTTCCCTTTCTATAAATCTACCTCCCGAACCGAGAAACTATCTCATAAGGAATTTTGCTGTGTTTTTGTCCTGTCCATGTTGGAGAAAATAAAAGACGGTGGCGACTCTTGCTTCCGCGACATTTCGCGAACCAGCATTAAACAGTCAGTTCTAAATCCACCGATCACAGATGGCTTAATTGGATGCCCTTCTGGGCAATTCCTCGAGGTAGAAGGTAATCGGCTCCGATCTACGCTTAACTCTCTAGAAAGTCACCGTTTACGGGGGGCCGCGTCGACCAGCTCGTCCAACTTCCTCTTCGTAGAGTTTATGGTTATGTGGTTGAATCTCCCACCATTTATGACCATGACGGAGGGGAACCTTTCCCACCTACTGTGCATGGTGAGAGGTTCTTCGATATCCTCGGGGACATAGAAGTCCTCTGGTCTTGTAACGGAGAATGTTGTCTGGATGAGGACCATCTCGTCTGATGGTCAGGCATCATCTTCAATCTCCTTCGTGTCACGGGCATCTCGACGAGGGGCGTCGCCGTGTCGATATTGCCCGAGTCTTCCCCCTTTGATGAGGGTCTCAATTGCATCTTTGAGATGGACACAATCTTCAGTCAAGTGTCCATGACTTTGATGATATTGACAGTATTTGCTCCGATCATCCCTGGGCTTAGCAGGAGCAGAGCGAGGACCCTTGACGCTTCCGTCCTTGAAATCAGTGTTAGCACACTCCGCCAAGATGCGCTCGCAGGAAGCCGTCACTGGAGTGTACTCGATAAACTGCCCCGAGGGTCCTCTTTGTTCACGAGGATCTCAGGGTTTGTCATCCCTCATCTTCTCGCTAGTTCATCAAGGAGGGGAAGAGTCTTTTTGTTGCGAATTGCTGGTTGATCCATGATTCCTGGGGTCACAAGCTATATTGGCCGCTTCCTTCTCCTCGTAGTCCATGTATGCTATGGATTTCTCGAGGAGGGCATCGAATGTCCGGGGTGGTTCGATGCCAACGACCTTTCTGAATTTCGTGCCTCGGAGGAGTCCCCTCTCGAGCAGGTATCTCTTTATATGATCGGTGCAGGGGACCTGGATGGCCTCCCGGTTGAATCAATCAATAAATTCCCTCAGGGTCTCTTCGTGTCTCTGGATGATAGCCTCGAGGGCTGCTTCAGTCTTTGGGTTTCAATGTGAAGCAGTAAACGAAATGATGAAATGGTTCTTTAAATTTCGCCAGGAGGTGATTGACCCCGGGACGAGACTCTTGCACCAATCCATCGCAGCTTTCCTTAAAGTCGTGGGGAGCAACCGAAATTTGATTGGTCCCCCGACATTGTCATAATGCAGCATTGCCTCAAACCCGTCTATATGGTCGACCGGGTCGGCAATTCCGTTTTACTCCTTCAGATGGGGAGGCTTCTCCATGCCCGGGGGGATGGGTGCCTCTATAATGGCTTGTGACAAGGGACCACGGGGGTCATCTTCGTCACTCCTGTCTGGCGAGCGAGAAGGAGATTTGTTGTAGTGGTGGTTATGATGATGGCCCTGGTCGCGCATAGTGTTCCTCAAGCGGTACAGTTGTTTGTTATTTCCCTTGTTCCTGTCTCCAGAGGGTCTTTGCTCTTGACGCAAGGGGATGTGATTGCGTCTCTTTATGTCTACAAGCTGGTCTGTCTCTAACGCGGGGCGTCGCCTAATTGGTCGGGGATAGGGGCTTCGAGAGGCGTCTTGCCTGCGTCTCCGCGAGGGAGATTGGGGATGTTCCTCTACTTGGAGAGGAGGAGGAGAATGGGGCCTCCTATGTCTTTTGGGGGCTCTCCGGACATTTTCAAGCGCCCTTAATCTCTCTCATTGAGAGAAGATCAGATAATTTGTTTGGTTTATCGCCGCAAACAGTGCCTTGGTCTTGGCATCTGCTCCGTCGGGAACGAGGATCTCCTGGAACTGGTTGAGTTGGTAGTTCTGAGGAGGTGGACAATCGTCTTCGAATTGTCGGGACAGTGACGACGATGAGGCAGTCAACCCGTCTCTGTACTATGAGAAGCCAAGTATGCTGGGGTGACCAGCGTTGATGTCGTTACCGGCGTTAAGGCCAGTGGGAGCAACGTTGTGGCTGACAAGACCAGTGTTGTTGACGCTGGTGTTATTGTCGACGACGCTATTGTTGGCGTCGGCGAGACGGACATTCATGTTGTTTTCTACTCTTTGATCAACCATGACAATCAGAAAGGAGTGTGATTTAGCTTTTGTCTTGTGCAAATGGAAGAGTGGGAAACAAGTTTCCCACAGACGGCACCACTGATCGTACCTGATCAGAATGGACCATCACAGCTTCACCGAGCAGAGTTTGAGTGAGGTGGGGGGGGGGGGGGGGGGTACCTGCAAGACACTCTGATGCCAAAGTAAGTTGCATAGTAAGCAAGCAAGCGTGTGAATAAGAAAGTGTTGAATACCTGACCGTCTCGAAAGAGAGGGTATTTATAGCCCCCAGCGCTGGGCCAAAGTCTCTATATTGGGCTGGTCAAGCAGGCCTAACATAGAGACTGCCAGGTCCTACGTGAGTAGTGGGGATCCACACATGGTCCCCTATTTGGAGGACGTCCTCCGCAAGGTCAGGAGGATATGAATGCGATCTTTCTGGGGCCGCGAAGACTCTGCGATATCCGAAGACGTGGGTAGTCAGTCCTACGAGAAGGATGCTCGGGAGGAGCATCTGCCCGTCGTGGGTGATCCCTGCCATACGCGAGGTCGAGTGAGGGGACCAGTCTTGGTCGACGAGCTAGTCGGGGTGTCCTCAAAGCCTTCATGGTCGGAGGTGACCGTCCTTAGTCTACTCGGAGTGCTTGTTCCCGTGTGGTGAGGTTGTCTCATCGTAGGGAAAATGTGGTAGTTGCCCGCTGCATTCGAAGATAGAAACGATCAGTGATACAAGTTGACACACTTGGATTGGGCCTTACTGGGAGTTGGATCAATGGCAGACCCAATCCAGAACAATTATATATTTTATTATTATGCTTTTATCTAAATTTTAAACTATTATTTTTTTATTATATTATAATTTATATAATATTTAATAATAATTTATTTTATGTATTCAAAAGTTGTTATCAAATATAATTTATTTTGTATCGAAATTTATAACATAAATCAAATATATTTAATATTTTTTGATATTGTGTAATAAATTATAACTCTTTAATCACTTAATATGATAAATATTATTTTAATAAAATATTATAAAATTTTCACCTTTAAATATCATATCACTATAATAAATATATAAATTATTAATAAAATTTCTTCCATACACTAAACATATTTTTAATTAAAATTTCTCTCACTCCTCTCCCTTTTTTTTAATCAAATATATATATATATATATATATATATATATATATATATATATATATATATATATATATATATATATATATATAATTTAAAAAAATCCTGCGTAATCTTCCCCTTCCGCCTATCAAAATCATTCTCATCCTCGATCATCTGAATCAAACAGACCTTAAAGCTTTTAACATACCCAACATCAGTCCTTTGGTGAAGTTGCACGACGATGTTATCTCTCAGACGCATCCTTCCTGCCCACCACCGCCACCACCACCACCACCACCACCCATTCTCCACCTCCATCTCCGCCGCCATCTCCGCCACCACCACCACCACACCTTCTCTCCCACAATCCTATAAAGTACAACCTCCAATCAAACCCTGGCCTCACCGCCTCAACCCTAAACTCTTATCATCTCTCATTTCCCGCCAACACGACCCAAACCTCTCCCTCCAAATCTTCCTCCACGCCCAACACCACCACCGCCCTCCCTTCTCCCACAACCCCCAAACCTACCAAGCCATCTTCCTCAAACTCTCCCGATTCCGCTGCTTCCGCGAAATCGAAACCCTCCTCACCACCCTCCGCGGTTCACCCCAGCAATTCGTTAATTACTGCGGCGAAGAACCACTTATAACTGTGATTCGCGGTTACGGACTTGCTGGAAAGCCCTTACGGGCTCTCAAAACGTTCATGAGGATTGAATCGTTTGGGATTCGACCCTCAGTTAGGTCTCTCAATGCATCGTTGAATTCTTTGGTTCAGAATAAGCGTTACCGCTTGGCGTTTTTGTTGTTTAAGAATTGTAGAGATAGGTTTGGGGTTTTGCCTAATGTGGTTAGTTGTAATGTCTTGCTTAAGGCACTTTGTAAAGGGAATGAGGTTGAGGTTGCTGTTAGGGTTTTGGATGAGATGCCTGGAATGGGTTTGGTCCCTAATGTTGTTAGTTATACTACTGTTTTGGGTGGGTATGTTTGGAGGGGTGATATGGATGGTGCTATGACGGTTTTTCGCGAGATTTTGGATCGAGGGTGGGATCCTGATGTGACTAGCTATACTGTTTTGGTGGATGGGTTTTGTAGGTTAGGGAAATTGTTGGATGCGATTAGGGTGATGGATGTTATGGAGGAGAATGGGGTTGAACCGAATGAGGTTACTTATGGTGTTATGATTCAAGCTTATTGCAAGGAGAAGCGGTCCGGGGAAGCGGTTAACTTGATTGAGGATATGCTTGGGAAGGATTGTGTTCCGGGCTCGGAGCTGTGTTGTAATGTTGTTGATCTGTTGTGTGAGGAAGGGAATGTTGAGAGAGCTTGTGAGGTGTGGAGGATGGTTTTGAGGAAGGATTGTAGCCTCAATGGTGTTGTCGTCGTCAGTACGCTTATACACTGGCTTTGCAAGAAGGGGAAGGTGCTGGAGGCAAGGAATGTGTTTGATGAGTTTGGGAAGGGATCAGTTGCTAGTCTCTTGACGTATAATACATTGATTGCTGGATTGTGTGAGGGAGGGAAGCTTTGTGAGGCGGCGAAGCTGTGGGATGACATGGTGGAAAAGGGTGTTGCTGCTAACGCTTTTACCTATAACATGTTGATTAAAGGGTTCTGTAAGGATGGAAATGCCAAGGAGGGTATCAGAATTCTGGAGGAGATGTTGGAAAACGGGTGTTTGCCAAACAAATCAACCTACTTAATATTGATTGATGGGCTTTTGCTTTCCGGTGGAATGCAACAAGAAATCAACAAGGTAGTTTCTCTGGCCATGTCCACTGAAGTTGATGTTGACTTGTGGAATCATTTTGTAAGACCTATTGTGGGCAATGTAGATTGTGGTGCAGCTGAACTTGATAAGATATTATTAGAGAATGCAGTGTAATAATCTCGAGTGTGATGGCAAAAGAGGCTTGAATGTTTGAAACTCTATGCATTGTTGAGGCATTCTTTTAGCTGATATACTTACGAGTTAGTGAACTTGAAAGTGTCTGGCAATTGACCAGGAACCACTTTGTGGTTGGATTTGGATTTTGTTTTTGACACATGGTCCAATTTTAATGGCTGGCCGTTATAGCGGCCATCAACACCGAGTTTTCTTATTGCTAAATTTAAGCACCATCTTCTGCATCTAAAGGAATGTTGATTGGGTAAAACGGGTACATGGAGCAGCCTGTAACTTATTCAGTGTGATTGGACTTTGGACATAATGAGGACTCGTGGGTTTTGAAGTGGGAAATAGCAGGGAAACATTAGGTAAAATCAGCTTTCTCTTCGGTTTCTCAATCTTCCAATGAAGTTGTGTGGTCTCATATAGCATAGAAGCCGGTATTCAGATTATTGTGGAAAAGCTTAGCTCAATCTAAGGCCATAGCTTTTTCTTGGCAGACTTTGCTTATTTCGGAAAAAGATGTTAACATGTTAACCTGTGTTAATATGACTGGCTATATGTTGTGTGAGCAGCAAGCAGAATCTGCCCCGCAGTTATTTTATTACTGTATTGTTACTTTATTTTATTTGTTAATACAGTTCTGTGGATGTGCTCGCGATAAGAAAGAGAAGAAGATAAAGTCTTTGATTTGGATTGTGGTTTTCAGGTCTATTTAGGAGGCTATTGAGGTACTGCTATGAAAATAGAAGGTGAAACCATATAGAATTGTGGAAAGGGATGACTTTGAGAGAACGAAGAGAGGTATAGTGAAGGAAACAATTGTGATGGCCTCTTGACAACGGGAAAGAGAACAAATATATATAACATTGATCATGCTCCAGATAATTGATCATGCTCCAATTGTGATGATTACGATGCTGATTTTATTAGGAACCTGAGCCTGAGTGTGGTTAATAACTTAATACTACATCGGTTGAAAGTAATATAATATATGATTCACACTTGTAGGAAATGTGCAGGAGTGAAACATAGTTTGGGAATTTTTTTTAGGAACAATGATATTTGAACACAAAGCTTGAACATCGATCGTATAAGCAGACACCGTATAACAAATGTAAAAAATATTAAAAAAACTATAACCGCGTATAAATATGACGTCGGATATCTTTTTAGATGTTAAAATAATATTTCTGTTTTTTTAAGGATTGAAATTATATTATTGGGAATGTGACATTGAAAATACATTAATCTCATGTTTGTTTTAAGTTTTTAAAAATTATTTCCCAGAGTATTTTTTATTCTCATGAATACTGTTTATCCATTTCGGTTGGTACAGCTCTTGCGTGACTTATGGCGGTCGTCGCAGTGTGAATTAATCACAATGTTTAAAATTTTTTTTTTTTGTGATTTGTACTTTCATAATTTGATTCTGAAAATTTCAGTGTTACTGAATAACATCGTTTTGTAGCTGTCATAACAGTTTTTCCTTTGTGATTTTTTTCTCAGCATAAAATGGTTTATAATGGTATCGGCACCGTTTCATAGCGTTTTAGCGGACCGTTTTTTAAAACCTTGGTTATGACTATATCATTGTGTTTTTATGAAAGTAACTAATAGTATGCCTATAAGTTTTCTTCAGCTGATTTTTAGCAGCTTTTCTAGATAGCTTATTGTTGCTTTCACGTTATACATAAGCTCTTATTAGATAAGTGCTTGATTGAGCTGTATATCCATACATTCCCTAAATTGTAGATTGTTACTGATGTGATTTTGATTGGTGTGGTGAGACATTCGCTATAACCTGGCCAAGTATGTTTTGACTTTCAAGCTCACAGTTAGACATCTTATTGTCATAAGTTGCTTTCAGCTTATACATAAGCTCTTATAAGATAAGTGCTTGATTAAGCTGTATATCCATTTCTATAGAGAGCATTCAATAAATAATCATTGTTATTAAGTGAATTATATCAATTGGTACCGGTTTCAGTCACTCACCCTTAGATGTGCATGGTTTCTGTGCTGGATACTGTGAGCGTGTTAAATAAGTGATGTCACTTAGCTGGATCTGCCAAACTTATTCAGATTTCTTTAACTGGAACAAGGTGAAGATACGCTATTGTGATGGTGCATCCTTTGCTGGTCACCCAGAAAGTGAGGTTAGGGTTGGTTTATCTTTGCAGTTTTGAAACTTTAGGAGACTATTTATTATTTGGCATTGGTTGTTGCTGGTTCTGTGTTGCATATTCGAATAAGAAATTCTTGTTACATTTGGGTTTATTTTGATGTAAGTTTATTTTTTTGTAAAAACAATTATTGTATACATCAGAAAGGAAGTGGGTTGTTCTTCAGAGGCCAGATCATATGGGAAACTATTATGAATGAACTCTTATCAATTGGCATGTCGAAAGCGAAGAAGGTTATACTTATACCATAATCCAACATATCATGTGTGTCTATGATGTATTTATTGGCCCTGACCTGTGACCTAAAACTTATTAGCATGTGATGATAGATGAGGTTACTTTTGTAGGCTCTGTTGACAGGATGCTCTGCTGGAGGATTGGCAACTCTTATACACTGTGATAACTTCAGACAATTACTTCCAAAAGGGGCTACTGTTAAATGTCTCGCGGATGCAGGCTTCTTCCTCAATGAGTAGGTTTATCTTAACATATCTTTCCTTTTTTCCTACTATGACACTGTCTAGCAAAATTTAAACTTAAAGTTGCCAAACCTGTTTGTACCTTATTACATTATGGGTGATCCTAGAAGAATTTTAGTTTTTTAACTGCTTTGGAATTTGAAAATCCTTGAATCTAGTGCGACTACTGATTTACACCTGTATGTTGTGTGTTAACTTCGATGCATCATGTAACCAAGTAATTTAAATAAGTACATCCGTGTTACATAAATTTCAGGAAGGATATTCTTGGAAATAGCACAATGAAATCTTTCTATCAGGATGTTGTTCAGCTCCAGGTAATGATGTGTTTGCTTACAGGATTCTATATTTAAGGACAGCGGAAGTATCTTTATGAAAAATAAATAAATAAAAACATAAAAAAAGGGTTCTGCATATGTAAGTTGTCTAATTTTCACCATATCTTGTTCTCAGGGTGTTGCAAAAAGTTTGCACAAAGAGTGCCTTGCTAAAATGGAACCATCTAAGGCAGGTTTTAGTTTCTTAACCCTGTGGCCGCACCTTTTGTTATAGTTTGTAACTATAAAAAATGATTCATACGGTTAAGTTAAGAATAATCCATTGTTGATTTGTAATGCAGTGTTTCTTTTCATCCGAAATTCTGAAAAACATAAAGACTCCTGTTTTTCTTGTTCACCCAGCTTATGATTTTTGGCAGGTAAGCTCCCTCGGGAGACATGTTTCCTTGTTGTAAAATGTTTTTTTTCTTTGACAGACATTTGACGCAAATTATATTGTACTTAGATACACAATATTTTGGTACCTCAAGGATCAGATCCTCATCGTCGCTGGAAAAGCTGTAGATTGAACATTCAAAGTTGTGATGCTAACTTGATGGATACACTTAACAGTAAGTAAACATAATTGCTTCCATATAGTCTTGTACTAATATCTTATTACACTTTTGATCTTTTTACATCAACCTTTAACAGGAAATGCCTTTTTAAAAAATAAAAATTAGTTTTTGTAACCCCTCTATGTGATTTGATTCAAACGCCGCAGATGGTGGATTCTTCTACTATGGCATAGGATAGTAATGATTGTTGACCTGATAGTGATATCTGAATTTATGAGATTGTCTTCTTTGGCTTGGATAACTTTGTGATTATCATTGTTAGATTTTCGAAGTTCTTTGCTGAAGACTGTGAACGAGTTCCAGCAACGAAAGGATATTGGAATGTTTATAGATTCCTGCTTTATCCACTGCCAGACTTTGATGGAAGAGACTTGGTTTTCACCTAATTCTCCAAAAATAAACGATAAGGTAACAATTGTTTTGGCTTTTTTTCATATGCGATGGAAATCATATAAAATATTCATGTCATGCATGGCATTGACCGATTTCCATCTGGTTTACATTCTAGTACATAACTCCATAACTACCCTTTATTGTTGTTACCTCTGGAACAGACAATTGCTGAATCCGTTGCCGATTGGTTCTTTGACCGACAAGTGGTAAAGCTTATTGATTGTCCTTATCCATGTAATCCTACTTGCCATAATTTGGATTTCGCCAGAGTATAATAAAAGCTAAGTATCTCAATTTTCATTGCCTGTTATATCATGGATCTGCATTTGTCAAAAATCACGGACAAATATCAATTTGGATCGACTCCTTCACTCTCCTCTTCACCCGTTCTACCTCCATCTTAATCTTACTACAAGATGGAGAGATGTAGGGAGAACTGAATGAGGGAATCCAAATCCGACAAATATCTTCCCATTGATTGTGCTGCAAGAGTTGAGTTATTTTTTCTGATATAGCTAAATTTCAATTGCATTTCAAAGATACTCCGGGAGTTGCGCAAGTGGCTATACGAAATTAGAGTTGTTTGTTTTGTAATGTTTATTATCTGCAATGACCTGCTGAGAATATTCATTTATGGTGTAATTGGTTGCGATGAGAAAGTGAGAAATGAGAAAAATGCAAGAGAGCGTGAAAAGAGAGAGAGCTACAACAATCATGCTTATACACTAATATACAGAAACTAAATTTCAAGTTAGATTTCAAAGTCCTTTTAAATTGGTGTTTCACAATTAGCCTAATGATCTGTTGTAGTTTGTGAAACTGTTTAAAACAGTTTGAAAACTGATTTTAAATTATATGTTTAAATCCAAATCCAATTGAAATAAAATAGTCGTCTTAATCATTTAATTAACAAACAATTTTATGTCACATGAGTTTACACTGTTTTTTCAAATAACCGGCTTCAAACGTTGTATTATTGTTCTTGTTTATTTTTGTCTAAATTATGAACTATTGTTCATATTTATCACCAATCTCATAGGAGTATTTTTTTAATGTTTATAGCAGCTTTTTTATGGCTCTCCTCAAATTATTCATTACTAAAAAGAGTTGTTCTCTAACTATATATGAACGTTCATTTAGTTTTTTTATTCATCAACAACAATCACTCTCTTTCTGCGATTCAAAGATAAAGTTCTTAGTTAAAAAATAGATCTCTACATTATGGAATAAGAATGCTAGAACAATTAATAGCAAAAGAGAGAATAAAAATTTAAATCGCAAATAATCGGTGTTATTTGTTAATAAACATGTTATTTGTTTACGTAGTTCAAGAATTGACCAAGTGTGTTAATCGACACAGTGTTTGTTTAAGCATTATCAGTTTTGTCCCTGCCACTCTGTTCCATCTCCGTTCCTGCCAACCTCGTTTCTGCCCCTAAAATTCAGTCGGGGTAATAACTGACTGTGCATCCTCGTCCCCAATGGTGTACGGATTTCTCCGATCTGTCTCGCAAAAATTGTAAAAATTGCAAAATTGGTCTATTTAATTATTTTAATAATAATCATAATATTTAATTATTTTCATTTAATATGTATTTAAAAATATGTATTTTATTTTAATAAATTTGCTATCTTAAAATTAAGAAAGATAAATAGATAATAAATTTATTTAAAATAAGGGTAATAAAGTAAATTTAATAGGTCAGGACAAGGGTGGGTATTATCATTCCTTCTTCTGTCCCGTAATTAAAAAAAATGAATTTTCCCAATTAAATAAGGTTTTCCTGTTAGGTTCGGGATAGGGGGCGACCGAGTCTTGTTGAGTTTGAATTTTTTTACCATACCTAATATATCTAATACTACAATTTATATTACATGAATATCTTTGATCTGTTCTGCGATGCTCCACTAGCTTGATTCCCCCACCCCGTCCCTCTTTCGTGACTATGAGCCATATTAACAAATCTCCATGTTGGCGAAATAACAATCTTATATGAAATATTTCGTTCATGACATCCACATTCTAGAAGTTAGGAGGTACAACAACGACTTAATATTGAGAAATATGTAATAAGGCAAAACAATGCTTAAATTTGTGACTAGTGACTAATTTTGTTATCATATCAATTGCATTCTATGAAGTATGAATATTTTCAAGTAATATTTATTTAGATGCAAGTAACTCTCAGATCTTGTGAAATCTTACAACAATATGTTTTGTCGTGGTGTGATACACGATTATTTTCTAAATACATGGTACTCTAACTACTAGGATGCAAATGAATTCCACCTTGCTTAACACCCAATTCCTCAATCAATCATGTAACCCATCAGACCTCTTTGGTAGCCTCATCTAATACCATTAAATATGCTTTAACTGTAGACATGATCATTATGGATGAATTGATGATTTTCAACAAATAGGTCCATTTGCTTGAGTAAATACATATCTTGTTGTAGACCTCATATCATCCATATCATACACATAATTTGAATCAACATATCCTACTACAGAATGATCACCCCGTCCACTACTAAAAATGATAGCATGACCTAATGTCCCTTTCGAGTATTGAAAATCTATTTGTTTGCTTATAGATAATGTTGGCCTGGTTTAGACATAAACATGAAAATATGACTTATAAATTATGGAAAATCGGGTCTAGTGTAAACCACACCATATATTATACAACCAAAACACTAAACATAAGGAACCTTTGACATATTCTTAGTTTCTGCATTTGTCTTTGACATATCCAAAGAAAGCTTAAAGTGATTCACCAATGGAGTACTCATACCTTTGAATTACTTATGCTAACATTCTCTTAAAACATTTTCAAAATATATTTTCTGATAGAACCATAACTTTCTAGCACCCATATTTATGTGAACTTCCATCCCAAGAGTCTTCTCAACAACACATAAGTCTTTCATATAAAACATTTTCCCCAATACATTTTTTAGTTCATTTACATCATGTAAATGATTAGAAGCGATCAACATATCATACATGTATAATACCACAAAAATAAAAGAATCATCAATAAGACTCCTAAAATTAACACAACAATGATACTCACACAAAATATAGCCAATCTTAAGCATGTATGAATCAAGTTTCTTATACCCACTGCCTTGGAGATGACTTTACTTCATACAAAGATTTCTTCAACTTATAAACAAGTCATCCTTTTCTGGTATCATTGAAACCATTTTTGTCTGTCCCCATGTAAATTTTCTTATCTATTTTTTGTGAAAAAAATGTTTTTTTTTCAAAATCATCTACTCATAAATGTATATCTATGATGTTAACCATCTTCTTTGAAGACGAATTCCATAACTTGATCCTTTACACACCTTTTGTACATATTTATTTGATTTTAGATAAAGTTCGAATCAATCTTCACGTGATATATGCACACACATTGAACACCTAAAAGTTATTAAATTGTAAAAATCATTAAGGTTATATGTTCATACATCTTATACAAACAACCCTTTCAAAGAAGTCTATGGTGACCTATTGATGAGATAACACACCATGTTAACCACCTTTTTCCAATTTTTTTTTGAGATTCCAACATTTAACCAAAAACCTTTCCTTTTTAGTTTGAGACTTATTCATTTTTTATACCACACCATTATGTTGCAACATCTTCCAAACTGAATAATGCATCTAAACATCTTATTCCGTATAAAATTGCTTAAAGTTTGAATCAGTATACTTTATTCTATTTTACGCTCGTTTGATTCTTTAAACATGCCTTTCACAAATTAATCTTGGCAAATACTTTGGATTTCTAAAATATATCCAAACATTGCAAGAAAAGTCATTAGTGAAAGTCATGAAATACTTGGAACCACCCATAAAGGCCTCTTTGGTAGGGCCCAAAACATTATAATGCCCATAATCTTGGATTCCTTTTGTTCTATGTTTCTTGGTCTTAAAAGAAGTACAAAATTATTTCCCAAGTACATAATACATGCACAAGCCCATATTGCAATCGCGGCCACCCTTTAATAGATTATTATTATGAAGTTCCATCATCTCACAATCATTAAGATTACCCAAATGCACGTGACATAGTTTAGTTCCATCACTACCAGACTCAATAGACGCCAAATCACCTCACGACATTTTTTTACTTTAGGCAACAAAAGAATATACAATGACTTAAAAACCTTTGCCTAAAGGGGCAATGGGCCACATTTTTACGTGTTGACAAATTTTTAGGTTTTCATTAAACACCATCCCATATTCACTTTAAGCTACGATTTGAAAAGTCCTAAACTAATTCAGTAAACTGTGGTCTGTTCACATATTTTTGGAGACATTTTGTATTATCGTGGGCTAAAGTTAAAAAAACTATGCCATGTGAGAATATGCAATGACCGTAAACTCCACAACTGAAAAAGTGCCCCTTAAAACATTAGGCAATGATTTTCCTATTTTTGGCTGCAAAGTTTCGTTGTTGCGTAAACTCATTTTTGTTGTAGTTCATACAATAGTACTTCCCAACAGTTTTTAGATGTTACATACATTCCTCTTTGTTCTCATCACTATTAAGGCACCCTTAGAGACCTTAATAATGTCCATATCTCTATTAGACCTTTACGAAAAACCATTTCCTTATAGAGTACTCGAGAAAAATCAAATTATTTCTCAATTCTAAAATATATCTTACATCATTCCATGCCTGCACACCACCATCATCCATAGTAATTTTAATTTGTCTCATTTAAATATAGCACATACTTTATCATCAATCTAATAAACAATACCAAAATTGCCTGACCTAATATAGTGAACCACTCCCGATGTAACTTCATATGATAAGAGTATATAGAGTCAATAATCCATGCTTTACAACATTATCTAGATGAAACACTATCTTTTTCACTGTAAGAGTCATTGGTTTTGACCATGTTTAAATACCTCATAGGGTTTTGCTTTTTGTTTGGACAACCCATCCTTACATTCTTGGTCTATTTGAAACCATATCGCAAGGCTCCAACTACTTACTTCTACATAAAAGGACTGGGTAATAATTTGGATCGAGTCTTGGTGAGTATGCAAGTGGACAACATAAAAGTAAAAATAGTGTTGCATTCACGCATATTAGCTTGTTGGAGCATGTTCATGACGTATTTGGACTGAGAAAGTAGTAGTGTACCATTGGAGTTTTTATGAACCTCTATATCAAGAAATTAGTCCAAATCACCTAAATTTTTGACAAAGAAGACAGAGTTAAGTTTAATAATGAGTTTTTAAATGAGAGACGTGGATCTACCTCTAATGATGATATTCTTAACATAAATTAGTAGGTAGAAAAATTGCTTGTTCTAAGACAAGATAAATGATACGTGATCACATTTTCAAGCCTTGAAACCTAGATGAAGAAGAACACCTAGGCGATAGGCTACTATCTAGAAGGGGGGTTGAATAGATCGCAAATGAAATTTTATATTTAAAATTCTATTTTAAAACATTTAAAACTATGGCATGCAGAAACAAACCCGTATCAACAATCCTCTATTTGAGCCATTATCGGAAAGACCGAATATACGCTAAAATGATAGAACGCGTTTACGTAGGATAAGAAAAATAACCAATATATTTCCAGCAAACCA